TTTTCTGTACTGCTTGGAGAGAAAAACTAAGCTTTTGCACTGATGGATTTCTTTAAAAGGTGAACAGAGAGAGACTGTACTTCCAAAAGAGGGAAGATGGAGTCTTGGCACCAGTGGTGATGGAAGGGATTCTGGAAAAAGAAACAGAAATAGAACTACTGTGAGGGACAACAGACATTGAATTTGAGGTTAACCACTGGGAAATTCATAGAAGCACATAAAAATAAGAATGATTAGCTCTAGAGAAAACAGAGTTGCACAGGAAAAGAAAAGCAGTCATGGCTGACATGGCTCACTCTGATAGCTCATGTATCCTTCCTGATGTTAGCTCTGAAAATGACCAGGGCCAGCTCTGCAGTTTAACTGTAATTACAGAGTAGAGATAAGAAGGGTGAGGGTGATCCAGGGGTTTGGGGTTGGTGGAGGAAAGGTTTGTGGGGAGCAGAGGTAAATCCACATATTACAGGGTAGGAAGTGGACAGCTAATGCCCCAGACTGGTGAAGCCAGGCAATAGTAATATAAGCATGTCAATACCAACATTCCTAAGGCTATAAGCAGGAATCAGCCAAAAGTTTAATGTCTCATGCTAAAGATATGGCTTGGCCTCAGTGAGACTGGGTTCTACTCTTTTCCTGAAGGGAAGATTTAGAATAGTTAATAATTAGGTTATGTGCAGGTATAATTTTAAAAAATTAACAGCAAATATAGATTACATAAAATGTGATGGAAATACTACTTAAGCTTTCAGTTGTGTGTGCAGGTGTGTGCATACTGCAGTGATTTTTTTTTTAATTTTTATTTATTTATGTGGGGGGGGGGCCAGCGCAGCCCACCAGGGGGCGGTGCTGGCTGGCATGTGGTGCTGCGGTCCCTGTGCTTTGCTAAGCTTGTTCTAAGTAGGTGCTTTAGACCACTGAGCCATCTCACCAGCCCCTGCAGTGATTTTTGTCAAATGTATTTTGTTTGTTTTTGTAGGTTGGGGATTGAACCTAAGCCTACCACCTGCTGGTCAGTTTCTGCTGTGGTCTTGGCCTATAGAGTATATTATTCACTGTGAATGGTTGTCGAACAATTAGAAAGCAATTGTTTAGGAGTTTTCATTGCTAATTTACTTTTCACACTTCTGAATTGATCATGTGCTACTTTTTTAATTAGAAAAAGGTGTCAGGGAGGAAGGTTACAGCTTAATATAACCCAGAGGTAGAAGGGGAGCCCTGCTTGTGGTGGCTGCTGGTCCCTCCTCCCTAAGTAGTTGCCCCCATTTGCATTTATTCTACCAGGGTAGGTGAGATGAGGGTGGAAACTTTTTTAAAGAATCACTTTAAGGCCAGCGCTGGGGCAGCCACCTTTGTACTGTCACCTTCGCTGGGGTGTTTACCCATGTGCTGACAAATTGTTTTATAATTGCAAGCCAGGAATTTGTGTTTCATATTTAATCCATATTGTGTTTCTTGTGCTGGCTTATTTTTATGAGGCGAGTCCTTAGTCATGAGTTTATTAGATTAAGGGTCTGACTAGATGTTGAATAAATAGACTGGTCTTATACCAGCCAGGTGTGAATGTATTTGCCAGCAATGGCAGTAAATTTCTTGTAAAATAGTATGCCTAGGTGGACTCTAAATTTAATTTTCAGTGACATTGAATAGTTTTACATCTGTTAATTATACTGACCTTCCATTTCTGTACAATGTCAGTATTCTTTGTTTATCTAAAATGAGAGTTGTTTTATCAGGTATGAATCTTTCTGGGTTATAATTACTTATATTTTTCTCATAATTGCTGCAGCTGCAGACAATTTATCGTTTATGCTCCCTTTATTATTTTACTGTTACTTTTAATCATTTGGTGATTTTGGGTCATCTTGTACTTTGGATTTGTTTTCCTGTTGCCTCAAGAGAGGCGATTAACATGGCATGTTGAAATAGCCTATTCTCCAGTGTGTATGTACACATATGTATCTGTGCGCCCTTTAAATATTTAAATTGATTTTTGCTTATTTAATTCTGCTGAGATTGTAATCAGCTATCCAAACCATATTAAATAATTCTACTTTTGCCTTGTTTTGAGATGTTGGCAATTTGACAAAAATGATTCCTATTTAACATGTAAATGCTTTGTTTTATACTAGTAAGTTCTTGGGATTGAGACAGTTTAAGGTCTTGATAATTGTTTTCTACTCTTGCAAAGTAGCTTTTGGATTCTTTGCTGGAAGGGTAATTAGTGTTAGGAAAGATGTATTAGTTCACTTTTAGAAGACTAAGATTCTTAGTCGTGTGTTTGCACGTGTGTGTGGTAACTAGTATTGGTGTTAATAGAGCATGTAAATTGATAAAGGGCTGAGATAAATCCTGCTGTCATCCTTGGTTTGGCAAATAAGGTGAGGTACCAAGGTCAGGGGTCATTTGGGGTCAGGTCTTGCCCTTGAGATCTTCTGGTCTGGGTTAGGACCCCACCATCTGTGCACACAGACATCTCCTGGTTGGTTGTGTGGAGTAAAGAAGTGAAACATGATGAAAGAAGCCAGGCCCTGTGGTGGTGCCCCTGCTGCCTGTGTCTCTGTGAGGATCCCAGTGGTCTGTGGGTGCTGTCCTTAATGACTGACCTGGAGCTGAATGAGTCTGGAGGTCTTCAGGGTGAGGATCCCGCATCAACATAGGGTAACCCAGTGTGCAGGGCCCTGAGCAAGGGGAGCAAGCTGGGTTACCAGTTCCAAAAGGGCCTATTTACTTGTGAGGTAGTTCCTCTGTGGAGCAGCAGTCTTGGGGAAGCAGGGAGTCTGGAATTTTTTCCTTCCTGAGAGCTTTGGGGGTGGGGGGCGGTGTCTGTGTCATGGCCACAGGGTGCCTTTTAGGGTCCCTGAGCATTGGTTGCCAGGTCTAAGTGGGCCTTCCAGGCTTGCCCAGGAATCTGGAGCAGGAGGGGGCATGCTTCAGTGTTAGGAACAATTTCTCCACAAAACCAAGCAGGGTTTGTAGGACCTAGAACATCTCTTTTCCTGCCTACTAGTGTGTTTCTGGCTGAACTGGTTGTTTACTGAGTGAAGCTAGTTGAGTTGTAAGGTTAAAGTACTTTTCCTCCTATACGCTTGAGTACCACCATCTACAGCCCCTCCCCCAGGTGCATCAAAACAAAACAAAATAAAACCAAAAACACCCAGTGCTTTGGGGTTTTGTCATCTGTGGAACACAAGCAGGTTGGTGCTAGTGCCCCTGGTTATTTATCACCTTACCCCAGCCTGTATGGACCTGGAGGGACTGTGTCCCTCTTCCCTGTCGACACCTGGCCTTAGACCTGGGTGAACGTCAAAGTCACCCGAAAAACTGAGGTAGAGGACTCCTGGGGCACTATAGATCTGGGTCTGGGAATCTGTGATCCCATCAAGTGACCCTGATGGGCTGGGCCTTGCATACTGCTGACACCAGGGCCAGTCACCAAGAGCTGTGTTCCAGTTGGAACTTGAGGCTCTGAGTGCAGAGCCTTTGGTGGGTTGGCTGGGCACTTTACTGCAGGAAGGTGCTTGTCTTTCAGTGGGAGATCCTTGCTATCCTTGCAGCCACCTGGGCATTGGACCTCATGTGTGTACTGTGCCACAAGATGCTGGGCCTTCAGTATGCTGTGCCCCCCTAATTCACATGGCAAGGAGTTGCGGGTATTCAGGGAGCAGGGAGAAATGGGACTGCTGGGTGCTGTCACCACCCTGGCTAGGTTTTTGAAGTCAGGCAGGCAGGGCTCTCTGGTCAGAGTACTGACCGCCCTTCCATCCATCCTGGGAAGGCCAGGGCAGGGTGAATAAAACATTGGGTCTGCTGCATGCTCAAGGGCTGCTGAACTGGCACAGAACTCATTTCCAGGAGAATATGGACTTGTGTCCCCCACTGATGTTACTTTCTCAGACCCCCCCACCCTGGAAGAGGTTTGGCAAGCAGTTTCTTCCCTGGAAGGTACAGTGCCAGCTGCTCACTGGTAGTTGGGGTGGGCTGTCTTCTTGATTTCAGGGTGGACTTGTGTGTTGCTCCCCAGCCCAGCTTGTGTGCCCTAGAAAGTCAGGGGTGGACGCGCTTCCCTGTTCGACCTCAGACCCTGCCTTGGCCCTGCTTGGGACCCCTCCCTACCTCATTCCCATTCAGTCTCAAGCAGGGAATGAAGCATGGTATAGTTCAGGGTCACTTGATTGCCGTTAGGGTTTGGTGGCACTCACATTTTCTTAGGACCCTCAGGAGGGTCTTTGTGGGTGGACACAAACAATAGCATCTTCTCTGAAACCCTCAGGTCATGGCTTTCTGGAAAGGTTGTGCAGTGCTTGTGTAGTGGAGGCTTCACTGAAGCCCCAGGGCCTTGAGGTTCTGATGGACAGGATAGGGCTGAGGCAAGGAAGGCTGGTGAGCCAGCATGGGACAGGTTATGTGCCTGCCCTCCTCTGAGCTGAAGCTGGGAGTGGCTTTGGGTGAGGGAAAGTGAGGTCAGAGCTGCCCGCTGGCCCACCCGCCTGCCTGCCTGCCTGCCTGCCTGCCTTTTGGCTTTGCATGATGCCTGCACTGGGCTTGGGCTTGAGCCGATTGGCCTTTCACCTTTCACCTGCTGTCCTTGCTTCAGATCCTAGGCTCCATCATTGCTCCCTTGTCCTTGAGCAAGTCATATAACCTTCTTGAACTCCTGTTTTCTTAGCATGAGGTAGAAAAATCAGTATGGAATCTTGAGGTAATGAGAGGAATGTTTGGGAACATTCCAAGCTGAATTCCTGAGACTTAGAAGATACTCTGAAAATTGTCATCTTCCTTCTTTCAAAAATTCTCATATTCTTTTGTTGCTCAAGGCTAACCAAATTCTGCTTTCTTAGGAGCTGGCACTAGGTGTGGACCTGTGCTTGGTTTAGCAGGACAGTAAGGAGATGGAGATTTCTGGAGTCTGACTCTAAGCCTCATCTTTGCTTTTTGCTGGGTGGATGCTCTGGGGTAACAGTGGAAACTAAGCCTGCCCTCTTGTTGTCCGTGTCTCACAGGCCCTACCTCTCAGAAGATGCACTATTACAGATACTCAAATGCTGAGGTCAGCTGCTGGTACAAGTACCTCCTGTTCAGCTACAACATCGTCTTCTGGGTAAGTTTAGGAGAGTGCCTCTTTGCTGAGTGAGTTACTGTTCTCTGCATGCTTCTGATGTCTAGGCCCTGGGCAAGGCTCCAGGATGAAGGGTGGGCAAGCTCTGTGGGCTGGTCATGGAGAGCAGACTATAGTCTTCCCACCTCGCCAGATGCCCATCTGCCTGTCTCCTTCTTGCCTCTGGAAGGACATGCAGCGGGGGCAGCGTTGTGCCTCATTGTGTGTGATTGTGGGCCCTCCTTGGATCCTGGGAGGTGACAGTGGTCAGGGAGATACGTGCAGTCCTTGTGCTGACATCCACCTGGAGAGCTGGGGGGCACTGGGCATCCTGGGGAAGGCAGGAGACAGATGACTTATTTGGTCAGGGAAGAGTATCCTGAGGAGGACTCTGGGGGAAGGACCTAGGAGAGTGAAGAGGTGGCCAGAGGGGTTCTGGGGAGAAAGCCTGGGCAGAGAGACTGCAGCTCAAAAGCTTCGAGGCAGAAGTGAGCTTGGCATGTGCAAAGGACAAAGAGAGGTCCATGGCTAGGGCTGAGAATGCAGGAGAGGGGACCGGGGTGAGGATGGGTTCCATCAAGGCCATGCAGGTCTTGTAATGAGCTGTCTCTCAGACAGCTTCACAGGATGAGGGTTTCCTGTGGCCATAGCCATGTGGAAATAGAAGTCCAGGTCCTCATCAGTAAGGAGAGGGCTGGGCGAGAGGTAGATGGAGAAGAGGCGAGGTCTGAAGCCTGAGCTCCAGGGTGCAGGTGTGGATAAAGGAGTAGAGTGCCTAGGAGAGAGTATCTGCAGGTGAGGAACGTGCGTAGAAGTCTGTCAGGAGGAGCAGTTGGTTGTGTTGGCACTGTGGGGTGAGGATGTTTGCACCTGGGATGGTGAAGCATGTTGGAGGCTGTGGTAGCCCTGGCTGAGGCTGCTCCAGGCTCTGGTCAAGGGAAGGGCATGACCTCCAGCTGCAGTTGGACAGGGAGCAAGGGAATATGCTGAGTGAAACAGTGCTTCCGAACAGTTCTAGAATCTGGCCTGCAAGGGGACAAGGAACCAGGCCCTGGCTGGCTGTGGTCAGGTACCCTACGGATAATTATGTGTGCCTTGCCTTGGTCCAGTGAGAGACAGGCATTGACCCAGTGCCAGAGGCCCTTAGACCACTCAGCAGGTGTGATTCTGAGGGTCTGTCGAGGCAGGGACAGCTGGGCTGTGGTGTCACATTGTGCTTATGCTTTGGAATCTATGCTTCTTGTCTGGACTGGAACTCTAGAGAACAAAGCTGGCTTACAAAACCTCTTACAGAGCTCTTATAAAACATTTTAGCCTTGATTTTATCCTCGCGATTTATCCCAACGTGCTTGGGATTTTTCTGTCCTGAAAGATGGGGTTCAGTGCCTTGACCTTTCACTGGGAGTGTCCTCACTGCCCCTGAAATGGATTTGAGGTAGGTGTGTGTTAGTCTTTTGCCACTCTGACAAACCCCTAATGAAGGCTTATCTCGGTTAATGCTTTACCCATGAGCAGGTAGAGCCCTGCTTTGGGGATTCTGTTGGGGAGTTTAAATGGAACAAATTATCTCATGGCCAGGGAGCAAAAGGTGAGAGAAAGACCAGGGCTCACCATCTGCTCAGGGGTGCCTCTCCAAAGACCATGTCCTGGAGGTGCTACCCCTTCCCCAGCAGTTCTAGCATTTAACACCTAGGCCCTTGTGGATGTTCTGCATCTGAAAGACAGCTCTGGGGCTCTCTGGGTCCCTCCCTGAGGACTGTGTCTTGTCCTTGTCATGGGAGGGGAGCCCTTTGATTCCCCATAGTGTACCCCTGCTCCACGCCAGGTGTGATGGAGGGCCCCGGGTTATGTGGGCAACCTGACATTCTTTGCACTGCTCTTCCCCTTCAGCAGTGCTTACAAGCATTTGTGCCTCAGCCGTCACCCTCACCCTGGCTTCTCCAGCTCTGGCAAACTGCTGCTGCTCTGATGAAGGGCCCTGTTTGGCTCTGCTTCTGCAGACGAACTTTTAGGCCCTTCGGAGGCTCGGCCCCCTTGCTTGGAAATACTTTTGCATCCCAAGTTCAGGCTGTAGAGCTCAAGATCCCAGATTTACAGTGAGCCGACTTGGTTGTTGGGGTTATTAAGGCCATGTGTGTGGTTGTTAATAGTTGTCCTATCCGGGTGCACTGGGGCAGATCTCAAGGATGCAGAGGCTGTCAAAAGGTGAGAGTGCATGGTTGGGAGACCAAGTAGAAGGCTGGGTGCCCACTCTACAGAGCTGCCCAGCCCCTCCTGCTGCTGCATCCTGGAGATGTTTGTTCACCTTTTCTACCCAGGAGCTGGCAGGGAGGAGGTGTGAGGCAAGAGGCTGAGGGTAGGCACAGACCTTTGGGAGCTCTCGGGGAAGAAGGAGCCAGGCAGATGGGGACTATCACCCAGGCTAGGTGTCCTAGATGAGCCTGGGGTCCCCACTGTCACCTGGGCTGTTGTCCTTGATAAACTTAAGGTCCCCTTTGTCATCTAGGCTGGTGTTCTGGATGAGCCTAGGGTCTCTACTGTGACCAAGGCTAGGTGTCTTAGATGAGCTATGAATGTCACCTTCTGCTCCTGTTGCCTGCCTCACAAGGTTTCTGGTACACCAAGTCCTCACCTCTTCAGAGAGAATTTTTTAAAATGGGAAAATTAAAAAAACATGATGAGCCTCTTGTTCCCATCAGCCACTCATTCATGGCTGATCTTACTTCATTTGTGTGCCTCTGTATTATTTTGAAACAAAAGCTAGAGGTGATTTTGCAGTGTTAGACTCAGTGCGGTGGACAAAAGGCCAGTGGGGAGGAGGATCACTTGGCTTGGTGCTTCTGTGAGCAGCCTCAGCACCTTACACTCAAACTTTAATTGTCCACAGTTGCCCCTGTCCAGTACCTTTCTCTGGGGTACTTGGGCAATTTCGTAAACTCCATTTCTGACTTTGGGGCTGGGATTTCCCAGTAACTGGGACACATACTTGGGATAAGAAAGATCTGTGCTGTGACCTCCTGGTCTACACACCGTAAGAGCAGAGCTGAGGGTCCTGCCATGCGATGTTCAGGAAACTTTCCAGCTGCAGCATTTTGAGAGCACTGGCACTTTTTTAGTTTTTTAAAACCATGTTTTGGCTGTGCCAGCCCTGTTTCTAGTGCAGAATCTCACGTCAGCTCAGGAGAATGCAATCAAAGCCCCACTGAGGTACCACCTCTGGCCCTTTAGGTTACCTGTTTGAAAAGCAAAAGCAAACCCAAACAGAACATAAACACTGGCAAGGTTTTGGGGCACGGTGCCCTGTGCACTTCTGGCAGGAGCCCATCAGATGGTGCAATGTGGTGCGAACAGCCTGGTCCTTGAGGAGCTCTGCAGAGCTGCCACTGGGCCAGCAACCCCCCTGGGGTATAGAGCAGGGTGTTTAGGTGCATTCACATCCCTTCACAGCATTATTCACTATAGCTAGAAGGCGCCCATTGTTGATCAAATGGACAAAGAGAATGTGATGTGCACATGTGGAGAGTATTACGCACTGTGGGGGCTGTGTCCAGATGTCCTCTAAAGCCTCCTATGGTCCTCAGTGGGGCTTTTTTAGAGGTGGCTAGATCTAGAGTGTGTTATGCTGGGATCGGTTCATGGTGCAGTGCTGGGATTAAGGGTGTGCATGCTACCAGCCCTGAGTACCCTAAATAAGATAAAAGGATCAGAAGAGGCTTGTCTTGCCCCTTCTCTTGCTCCCTTGCTTCTGCTGTCTCCTGCCTGCTGTGAACTGTTTTACTCATCTGCCAAGTCACCCTGCCCCAGAGCCAGCCAATCATGGACTGACATCTCCACAGCTGTGAGCTAAGTAAACCCCTCCTCCTTTAACTTTGGGTGCTAGGTGTTTATTCTCAGCACCAAGAGAAAAGGAAGGCAGTTAGGACATGATGCTACACTGGCTGATGACGCTGGACGACATTATGTTAATGGAAATGAACATATAACAAGGCAAGTACTTTTTTCCATTTACAAGACATGTATTGTATGATTCTGCTCTTACAAAACTATAGAGACAAAGTGAATGATGGTTGCCAGGGAACAGGAGGAAGGGGCAGGGAGTGTCTTTGTCTATTTGTGCTGCTGTAAAGGAAACCACAGCCTGAGGAATTTGTGTACAGTAGAGGTCCATCTGGCTCAGGCTTGAGGAGCTTGGAAAGTCCAACAGCAAGGAACCGGGCCTTCTTGCTGTGTCAGAGGTGACACAAAACATCGCTTTCTGAGAGAATAGGAGGGGGCTAGGCTTGTGATAATGACATTAATTTATTCATAGGGACCTTACCTGTATCACCTCTTGCAGATGTCAGGTATCAATACCATGGAACTGGCGTCTGAGTTTCTAACACATGGGTTTCAGGGATACATTCAAACCATAGCAGAGAGAGTTATTGTTTAATGCATAGAGTTTCAGCTTCGCAGGATGAGAGAGTTCTAGACATGGGTGGTGTTGATGATTGTACCTTGCTGGGTGCACTTAGTGCCCCAAGCTGTACACTTAAAGATGGCTAAAATAGGAGCTAGATTTGGTGGCACATAAGTATAGTCCTCATACTCAGGGAGGCAGAGGCAGGAGGATCACATGTTTGAATTCTGTCTTGTAAAGTTAGTGACTTAGGAAGAACTTGTGCTGAATGAAGAGGCCCAGATTCAAGTCTCCAGTATGCTCCTTTTACAAAGAAGCTAAAGTGAATTTTCAGTCGTGCATATTTCCCACACTTGGTATGCGGATGGAGGGCCACTGGAGCCTCTGTCTCATTCTTCATTTCCACCTGCTTCCACGGAGTAAGCACTCCTGGCTTGCCGATGATGCCTGCAGCTCCAGCATGCTTCCCCCCATGTGTGGACTTTAATCTGGAGATGCTGGGATAAAGCCCTTGCCTGCATCTAGTTCAGAGGGAGGAGCATAGCACCTTATAAAATACAGCAGGCATCTGTTACGTAGCGGGGAGAGTAACAGCATATAGGTA